TCTCGATCGTTCACATTTCCACTGTTATTTCGTATCTATATTCATGTCTTCTTCTCCGACGCATCTAGATAGGGGGATAATTCCGGTATTAAAAGGTGTACGATAAATATGAAAATTCTCAATCACAAATTTTAGCGTTTTTCAGGTTTTTCAGATAAAAAAACTTCAATACAAGTACTGACACACGGGGGAACGCGCACCTTGTATGGCCACTTCTATCGTAAACATATTGGCAAGTGGAATAATCATTCTGGAATATTCAAACCGCATTATCCGATCCCCAAGGCTATGTGATATTTTCCGCTCTTTCGAGAACTCTGAGAAATCGAAATTTGAACACGGCGCCATTAAAAAGCTCGGGAAATTTTACTCAAATTGAACAGAAAAAGTCCGTTTTCCCCATTGGTTGCCGGGACACGACGAAAATTAATTTTTCAGAGTTTTAGGGTTTTATTAAACTCCGTTTAATTAAATTCCAGGACTTTACTGAGTCCTCGGACTGTATGAAATCCTAGAATTATGGTAAATGCTACACTGTCGGATATTTCTTGAAATTTCAGTCACAATGTCATCTGAATATTCAATGTTGTGAGTTTGAATTCAATTTCGTTCACTAAATTATTCATTCATCTTGATAATTCAAGAAAATTGGATTTTTCATGTTCCAGAATCATTGATTTTTCAATGAAAACTTGAATTTCCAAACTCATCGTGAAAATTGAACATCACATACAATTTAATTCTCAATAGATTGGAAATTCAAACAAGTACAGATAAGGACGCGACGAAAATTAATTTTTCAGAGTTTTAGGATTTTATTAAACTTCGTTTAATTAAATTCCAGGACTTTATCAAATCCCAGGACTTTACTGAGTCCTCGGACTGTATGAAATCCTAGAATTATGGTAAATCCTACACTGTTGGATATTCCTTGAGATTTCAGTCACAATGTCATCTGAATATTCAATGTTGTGAGTTTCAACTCAACTTCAAATGAAAACGTTCACTAAATTATTCATTCATCTTGAAAATTCAAGAAAATTGGATTTTTCATGTTCCAGAATCATTGATTTTTCAAGGAAAGCTTGAATTTCCAAACTCATTGTTTAAATTGAACATCACATACAATTCAATTTTCAATAGATTGGAAATTCAGACAAGTTATTGCCTAAATTTTCAAAATTTTCAAGGTTTTTCAGTGCCGTATGGACCTGAAAATCTAGAATTACTTGAATATTCAAGAAATTATTGATTTGTTAATGAAGAATTCAACATAAATTTCATGTAACTTTGTCGTTGTTAAAAATTTCAAGCTTTTTCACTTGAAATTTCAAGAGTAATTTTCTAACAGTGTAGAACTTAATTAAATCCCAGGATTTTACTAAAAACCAAGACTATTGAATCCTGGGATTTCACAAAGTCTCAGGACTTTACTGAGTCCCAGAATTTTACCGAGTCCCAAGACTTCATCAAGCCTTACGACTTTACCAACTTGCAGGACTTTACCAAGTCTTCGGACTTTGTCAAGTCTCAAGATTTTACCAAGTCTTAAGACTTCGATGAAGAATTTTCCGATGAAATTTTTCTACTTCAAGAAGTTAAAACGCATATTTTTTTGACGTGGATACGTCTATGGTTCAATATGGGGGGTCCTTTTGAGAAACGTTCCTTATGTGCAGCGCCATCTATCGGAATTCTAGAACATTTCGGCATTCGACTTTCGTCTTAGACATTTCGAGGTAATTCGAGAAGTTTCTTGAAATTTCGAAAAAAGTTTAAGGAGTTTCCAGAAATTTCTAGGCAATTCAGGGGGTTTCTAGGAAAATCGAGGAAATTCAAGGAGTTTCTAGGAAATTCGAGAAAGAAGGAAAGACCATGGATGTATCCACGTACAATCACAGCTGTATCGAAGATACAGCCGCCTGCAATTTTTTTTTAATGTCATGTGAAATTTCACTTCTTTAATGACACTTTTTTACAATTTTCTCTTCAACCAAGTAATTTTCAAATGAGGAAAATTGTAAATGATTTTGAATTTTTGCTACTGAAGAAGTCTTGTTGATCATAATATCCAGAATAGACTAATAGGTAACAACTTTCGGTGGAAAAAAACGGAAGTCGAGGTCTAAACAGAGATGTAGCACGAAATGAGGAGCATTTTACATTCAGACGAAGTTGATTGTGGAGATAAAACACTCGGGAGGAAGGGCGGCACTAAAGTTTGTCTGCTACGTGTTCAATAACCCGTGTATATAAACATGACGCGGAAATACTTGTTCGTTTAAACTGTCTTTACCATCTCAACGGTCCCGGGGCATTGGTTAATGTCATTCACAGTTCTCCACACTCCGGGAGTTTTGAATGGGTGAAAAATCGTGGAAATCCTGCGGTGGAAAGCTATCTTTATCATACGTGAATGGGGGGAGTGAGAGTGAGAGAGGTTTTTCTGAGGAATATTTTTGGTGATTAAATCGAGATACAGCTTCACTGATCCTCGCACATCGATTCTCATCATTGAGTGTTTGAGGGTATCTAAGTACTTTGTTATTGCGTTATTACGTTTGCCATTTTTTCTCCAGTGAAAGGCTTTTCTACTTTTATAGCCGAACATCAGAGCTTTCATTTGAGATCGATTTGACCCTAAATTTCCAGACATTTTACAATGATTTTATTATTTAAAGTTTGCAGGTCTGAATTTGAATCTCCGTATTGAGCCGTTAGAAAACATTTTAAAAATCTGAAAAAAAATTAGAAAGTTGACTTTTAGAGGAAGATTGATGATATCAGTAGCGAAGTGGTAAAACGGTACAAGTCAATTTTGACTATTGAACAGTTTACAATGAATATCTTGGAATCTAAGGGAGATGGCAAAATTTTTGTAATAACCTTTTTTGTAGAGCCGATTGAGAGCTACAACAAATGTTATTACGAAAATTTCGCTATCTCCCTTAGCGTCCGAAATATTCCTGAAAAACTCAACTGGGAGATAAGTCGACTTAAACCGCTTTACACTTCGCTACTGAAATCATTAAAAAATTGCAATTTTTGCAAATTACGAGAATTTTCTTTAAATAATTGAAAAACAATTAATTTTCCACAATAAAACTCATTTGTTCGGAATCGTAACAAATTTATTCATATTCTGAATTTTTCCAGAAATTGATTTCACGTCGGAAAAATAAGGTTTTTAAAAGTTTGAACAATTTCAATTATTCATTTATAAACAACGGATGTTTAAAAAATAATAATTCTGTGTAAAATGTATATTCATGATTTATTTCAAATTTTTTTCGCGCAATTTCATTGAAAAATTTAATGATTGAAAATACCAAACTGTAAAAGATACTTGGAAGTCCTTAAATCTTCTTTCAAAATCACCGCAAGATAATTTTTCTGTTATGTATTTCCGGATCTTATCGGACGACTCGCAAAGCGAATTGCAATGGCCTGATGAAAAAATATGACATTCATCTTTGTTTAATTTCATTTGCCAATGGCCGATGAAATGAGGAACGAAAATACCCGTGAATTAAACTAACCATGTAACCCATAAATTGGATGGATGTAATGTTTACACAAGCGGCTATAATCAGGTATCGAATCTGAACCCCCATGAAATAAACCTCACAATTTTCATTTATTCTTATTTTGTCATTTTTTTTTTAATTCGGTGAATTGGCGTTTTAAATTGTGGTTAAAACCGTGTGTTAACGGGGCGTTACCAAGTGGTATAGAAGACGGGTGAGAGACGACGATTTACGATCTCACCCCCTTCACTCGCGGCATATCTGAACAACATCGGGATTTGTTATTTTTCATTCATTTTTTCATCATCAAAATAATCGCGAATACATTTACTCCATTAAAAATTACATCTACATCTGCAAAAAATCGTGATAAAATTATGGAACATGAGAATAGAGGATATATTCACCAGAATGTTCCTGAATTATATTAATTTTCGTGGGATAATTCAACCGAAATTACAGCATAATACCTAAGATCAATGTTTTTCAGAGATTAATCATTGATTGAGTACTTGGAATTGCAAAATATTTACGATTTACGATCTCACCCCATTCACTCGCGGCATATCTGAACAACATCGGAATTTGTTATTTTTCATTCATTTTTTCATCGTCAAAATAATCGCGAATACATTTACTCCACTAAAAATTACATCTACATCTGCAAAAAACCGTGATAAAATTATGGAACATGCGAATAGAGGATATATTCACCAGAATATTCCTGAATTATATTAATTTTCGTGGGATAATTCAACCGAAATTACAGCATAATACCTAAGATCAACGTTTTTCAGAGATTAAGCATTGATTGAGCACTTGGAATTGCAAAATATTTAGGTTTACCGGTGTTACCATGAGTTGCGACGTGTTAAAACATTAGCATTTGTCAAACAACGTGTAAATAATTTATTCACTGTCCTACCCAGGATAGCCAATTCACTCTATCACTGACCACACGTGATATATATTACACACAATATTTATGTACATGCCATTGGAAACTGGAGTACTCGATCATGCACCATTTTACGTACACCCCGAGTGGAAAAAATCGATTGTTTTTCCATCCGATTTTAATGCATGCAAAACAATTATTCCGATTATTCATCTGCGCAACTAGATTCGTTATTTCCCATATGACAAATCGCTAAATTTTTTCCGCACTTGTTATTCACAAATTGATTAATCAATCACTCCGTCTCTCTTTCTCTCCCTCTCTCTCTCTCCCAATCGAAAAATGGTAAATATGAATAACCGACCGGTGTTTGCTCACGGATTGGTCAATCAGGGCTAGTACATTCACTCGGTAATACGTTCTCCGAGTGATCGTAGGCCAGCCTTCGTTCGAAAGCTAACCAATAACCGTTTTGATATGGAAATCGCGGCGAAAAAAAATCTACGAGATGAAAAAAAAAACGCGAAAGATACGAAAGGGAGACGTAATGATAAGTCTGAGAAAAACAGTCTCACCAGTTAAGTTGCGTTTCCTTTCTTTTGCGTCCCCACGGCTCCGCGAAATGTCCATGAATTTCAGAAGCACTCGAAGAATCATAAAAAATCATTCACACGATGTGACGCAGCACTCCACACCTATATTATCACAATTGTCGTTTGTACAATTTCCCATAACTACTCTACTTCCCCTGTTCATCAATTTTCTCACCCTTTATCCCATCACTTCGCGAAGCCCCGAATTTTCGCGATTCGTTTATTCTCGCGCGAGAGCACCGCGAACATTTGTGAACATCACCTTCGCCGAACACATTTTTTTTATTCTTCTCATGTCGCAATAGATCCTGAAGATCACCAGCACTTAATTTTTTAATATGGAAACAATTTTTTTAAATATTTTGTCTTCACTCTGGGGGAAGCTGAGCACCAGGGAAATTCCGGGGGGATGACTATTTTCAGGGAATGAATTTTATATCTCAAACATTATGACATGCAGGTAAGATCACGTACAACGGTTACAGTGGCGTTCGTAAGATGGTACAGACCACAGTGAGCAACGCATGGCCACGCGAGTGACGGCGAGGGGACTCGTCGCCGTGGCGGCTTGGTCTGCGAGAGTCCACTTCTGTTGGATTTAAAACCTTCCCAGGTTTTTGAACGGGCGCGCAGTGGCGTTTAGTTGCTTGTTTGTTGGGTTCCCCGTTGCGCGCAAAATCCACTTGATCGTTCAAATAATCCTCCCCCATTATCCAACTAATTCCCCATTGGTAAATAATTATGAAAAATGAGTGATTGATTTTATTCAACAATTTGGCAAGCGCATTATCCGCTGTGCGAAATAATCGGGCGGACGCGGGATGATTTTGGAAAAAAAATTGCGGGCCCTCGCGTTACACCTGGTGAGGGAATCCTTGATGTTGAAAACGTTTACCCCCACCCCGATCGGGGAAACATTTTATACACGCCAATTCTGAAATGAGACGAGTGAATGCACGGGGATTGAGTGGATATGCATGAGAAAACGAGGCAGAAGCTTCGAATCCGGCACTTCTCACTTAATTTACTTTGCGTGTAGTCGGGGGATTTCGTGACTTGGAGACGGGGAGGGGTTATTTTTTTTGGTGGGGGAGGGTTGATGAGGAGAGGGGGGAGAGCGGCGCGATGAGGATGGATGTGATGATGCTATAGAGAGGGTCTATAGGATTTTAAGGAGGCGCTATAGAATTGGCTATAGAGTGCCAACTTCTATAGGCCAGAATATAATATAGAATATAATATAGGCGAAATATGTTATAGAAGTTCTATAGAAGTTTTCTATAAAATTATGTATTATAGAATTCAGTAGCGAGGTGGTCAAACGGTTCAAGTTGACTTACACTGATAGACTGATTCATTCATTTCAAACGAGATTTGTTAATTGTTAAAGAATGGTAGAGTTGAATATGACCAAATAAAAATTCGTTAATATTTAGTTAACGAATGGCTCATTTGAAAGGTGAAAGTCGAGTCAAACAAGGCTCCTGAAATATGCATTTGTTAACTATTAACGAATGGACCTTTGGTGAAACCGAACAGACCATAGACTTCAACTAAATCCATTTGTTAACAATAACTAATCCTTTCTATCAGTGTAGCTCGTAGCTGAGTTTTCAAGGAATATCTCCAAATCTAAGGGAGATAGCGAAATTTTCGTATATATCTTTTTCGCCGCGCTCAATGTGCTCTACTGAAAAGGTCGAAACAGAAATTTCGCTATCTGCCTTAGATTGCGAGATATTCATTGAAACCTCAAGAATAGTCAAAATCGACTTAAACCGCTTGAACACTTCGTTACTGAATTATGTATAATTGTCAGAGCTACGGAATAGCAATTTCTATAGAACTCGGGATGAAACTCTCGGGATGGAATGAAAATTATCCATTCTATAGAAAATTCTGCAGAATTCTTAGAGCAAGCTCTCAAGGGTTTTGACAACGAATTCGTTACAAAAAATAGGAATAGGGCTACTCATCATTAAGATGAATTCCCAAGACTATAGATCATTTTCTCATTCTTGCAAACTCTCCTGTAAAATAATTCCCTGAATAATGACAAATTGAATGACAATCAATGTCAAATGACCAAATAAAAATTCGTTAATCGTTAACGAATGGCTCACTTGAAAGGTGAAAGTCGAGTCAAACAAGGCTCCTGAAATATGCGTTTGTTAACTATTAACGAATGAACATTTGGTGAAACCGAATAGACCCTAGACTTCAACTAAATCCATTTGTTAACAATAACTAATCCTTTTTGTCAGTGTAGCTCGTAGCTGAGTTTTCGAGGAATATCTCCAAATCTAAGGGAGATAGCGAAATTTTCGTATATATCTTTTTTGACGCGCTCAATGTGCTCTACTGAAAAGGTCGAAACAGAAATTTCGCTATCTGCCTTAGATTGCGAGATATTCATTGAAACCTCAAGAATAGTCAAAATCGACTTAAACCGCTTGAACACTTCGTTACTGAATTATGTATAATTGTCAGAGCTACGGAATAGCAATTTCTATAGAACTCGGGATGAAACTCTCGGGATGAAATGAAAATTATCCATTCTATAGAAAATTCTGTAGAATTTTTAGAGCAAGCTCTCGAAGGTTTTGACAACGAATTCGTTATAAAAAATAGGAATAGGGATACTCATCATTAAGATGAATTCCCAAGACTATAGATCATTTCCTCATCCTTGCAAACTGTCCTGTGAAATAATTCCATGAATAATGACAAACTGAATGACAATCAATGTCAAATGATTCTGATGAACACGAAAAAACTTTTCGTCCTCCACTTGATATTCAATTTTACCCAACGTGACAACAAAAAATAATTAAATCCCTCAATATTTTTTGTTGTATTTTAATTATTTTGTCGCGACAGTAAGACAGACAAAAAAAGAACACCACCCAGCAATGAACCGGAACACGCGACGCCCGGCGCCGGCAAATTTATTAATTATCGCCGATACGCTCAAGCTCGTCTCAAGTGCATCGGCGTACTCGACTCCGTATTATGAACGCGAGAGAAAACGAGAAAAAGAGGAGGAGCGAGGAGGACAAGTGAGTAAGAAAAAAAATAAGAGTGGTTGAGAAAACCGTAACACACATGGGTAAAAGGCAAAAGCCGGCTCGCGTGCAAATGCAAATTAACGCGTCTCCGGGTGGCGGCGCGGCTCAGAGTGACGTCTCAGGGCACTCAATTTTCCGAATCACCTAAGGATGAAATCTCGGGTGACTATTGAATCATCTTGGACATTGTCGAGCTTTTTTAACGAATCATTGTATCATTTATGCTAATGTTGTGTCTATATCATGGCATTAGGGACAATCAACTGGAGCTCTTTATTCATATTTCTATCGGGTTACGGGACTGATTGTAATCCGATTATCAATAGGGTGACTCATGAGCATTAAAAAATTTCAAGAACTCAATGAAATAAAAAAAATTTAAACTACCCATTTTGCCCCATGTTTTAAGATGCTAAATGAAAACTTTTGATTTAAAAAAAATTAATTGAAACTCACTAATTCAGTAGCAAAGTGGTCAAACGGTTCAAGTCGATTTTGGCTATTGGCCATGTTTCAATGAATATCTCGAAATCTAAGGGAGATAGCACAATTTTTCTCATGACCTTTTTAGTAGCACTCAATTCGCTCTACAAAAAAGGTTCTTATAAGAATTTCGCTATCTCCTTTAAATTCGGAGATATTTCTGGAAAACTCAACCAAAGGCTAAAGTGGCTTGAACCGTTTGATCACTTCGCTATTGAATTTAAGTTAATTTAATTAAAAATTGATTTTTTATTTTTTTTTCATCTTGTGGGGCAAAACGGGTCATATCCTTGTTAATTTCAAGTTTTTGAGCGATATTTTGTTTTCATTTCTCTCCGATATTATGAGGCTATCATATCCGATCATCGTTTTTTTTTATTGAAAACGAGCTTGCATTAACATTCTAGTACACCCCATTTTATTTTCATTAAATAATTAATGAGGTGAAACGAACAAGGTAAGTGCCCAATCTGATACAAGTCTATCCATTTAGATTATAAGTCCCGTAATAGTTTATTTATATGATACATTAAATTTTCACCGACTGGCTATTTACGGTGAAAAAACGCGGTAATATGAAATTTCTCACTACATGAAAACATGATTCGGGGGAGATATAAATACGCAAACGTTCATTGACTGTCATTATGCTCGGGTAGACCAATATTTTCAGCGAAACGTGGAATAAAAAAAGTTACAGGCGAACTATAAAAATTACGGAATAACAGCTCATTTAGATAGATTTGTGGGGGTCTTTTGAAATTATCTAATTTCGCTGTAGGTAGAGTTTTTTCCCTGTTTACATTGTTGAGAATGATTTTAATTTTTTTAAATTTTTTTCCCTTGGATAATTATTTTTTAGTAAAGTAAAACAAAACAAAAATCTTTTTGAAAAGTGCGAGACGAATAGTGATTTATTCTCCGTTGTCCCGGAAAAATTTACAAAGCTGAGGATAATTTGTGCTGAAACGTATGAAACAAATTTAGCCTGCATTCCATCAATAATTATCCCAGTGAACGTGAATTATTGCTCAATATTTCTTGTAATTTTCCTGAAGCGGAAAATGATTTTTTACCAAACGTGTTCGGTAAAATTTCGCTTCCATTCATCCACATGACCTTCAGATGGGCGCAAGACAGAAAAAATAGCCCATCCCATAGATGTGCACGCAAGAAAAAATTCAATAGAAAAGCTAGCGAATTCACTAGGAAATTCTATTGGCATTCTATAGGAATTCTATGGGGTTTCTATAGGATTTATATTGGAATTCTATTGAAAAATTCTATTTCTTTTTTGCGCTGATTCATATTTAACAAGAAAAAGTCAACAGATTTCTAATTTCTGGTTGAATTTTTCTCTTCGATTTTTTCCATTAGAATTATTAGGCACAAATTTTCTAATTTTTTCCGTTGGATTTTATTTTGTTTTGCATTGCAGAATCCGAGTGGAAAAAACTTAGAAAATTGATGCCCAAGCATTCTTATAGAAAAAATCTCAAGAGAAAAATTGAAACAGAAATTCGAAATCTAGTGATTTTTTCTTATCGAATATCCAATAGAATCAGCGCAAAAAATAAATAGAATTGTTTAATAGAATTCCAATAGAAATCCTGTAGAAGCCCCATAGAATTCCTATAGAATACCAATAGAATTTTCTAGCGAATTCACTAGGTTTTCTATTGAATTTTTTCATACGTGTGTTCAGTTATTTATTTGTTTATTTAAGAGGATATTACTATGAGTTTTTAAAGTTGTGGGTTATTGGACTGAGACTTTTCATATGTTGAAGATCTGATACAGATATAGATCTGAAAACGAATAATTAGTGTAAAAAAAAATTTTTTTATTGTTCGTTCGAAAACGCTTAAAATGCTAAAAACAGTCCAGGTCCTCCAATTTTTGAGCTACAAAAGATTTTTTTTTTTCAAAATTTTCGGAAAA